TGACTCTTTCACTCCAATTCTCCTCAGATTTCCTATCCTGTTAGCAAGTGTTTGGTAAAGTATAGCAATTTCCAAAGTATAGCAATTCAAAGAATAATTAAATGAGCATCTACCTAGAGTTTACCAGGTTACTGCTGATATTTTTATGATGAATGCCAGGACTTGGTTCACCTTTGCATCTGGGCAGCAATCAGCTTTACAACAGCACACAGAAGAGAATGAAACATCCTGAGGTTGCTCAGTGAACACGTGATCTTCCTGTTCCATCTCACAGGCTTCATTCCAGCTCAGGCTCACATCTAAGGTATCTCCCATCTTCAAGTCATCCTTGATGTCTTGGCTATCAAAGACTCACAAGAGAGCTGCTCAGGCACTCCATGGTTGGAATGAGCTCCCCTCAGCCAGCACTGAGGTTGTCAAGATCAGCTAGAATGTCTGTAATCTCTGTTGATATCTGCTGGCTACTGAAGTACTTCCCAGAATCAAATTACAGGGCTAAGTGTGATCTCCCAAATAGTAATAAGGGTGTGATCTCCCAAATAGTAATAAGGGTATGGAAAATGTGAAGGTTGTTGGACAGTTAGTTACAATTGGGACTATGTAAAAATAAAATTTTTGTTGACTCTTCCACCCCGATTCTTTTCATATTCCCTAGCCTGCTAGCAAGTGTTTAATAAAGTATAGCAATTTCCAATGAAAACATAGCTAGCTAGCTCTTTTCATGATTTGCTTGATTACATATGCATGTTGAAATCTCATTACCCATGTGATGGGATTTCCTTTGTGATGCTTGTTAAGATAATGAAAAGCAGACATATCACTAAATCATCACACATTTTGATAAATGCTCCAAGGGACTAATAAGATGCAGTGATGGTGAACCTAGAAGAGGGTGGATCAGACCAAGTGAAGAAGGATTCAAGCATGCAAAGGGTAAGGGGAAGAGCACATCAGCAGAGGGAACATATGTGCAAAGGCTCCAAGGTGGGAGGTAGCTCTGAAGGGCTCAGCAGGAAGGATGATGCTGAGTGAGTCAGGAAAGACTGACATGGAAGAGCAGGCATGAAAAGCTTTTTAAGGTAGGGAGAGAGACTATTAAAATGAAAGGGGAAGCTACATAGGGATTTCAGTGAGGAAGATATGATATGCAATATATCATATTAGAGGCCCGGTGCACAAAATTTGTGCATGGGAAGGGTCCCTAGGCCTAGCCAGTGAACAGGGCCAATCTGTGGGGCAACCAGCAGGATGATTGGGGGTCCCTGTTGGCACCTGCCTTGCCTGGTCTGGGGCCTGTGGGCTGGGGGCAGCTCCTGCATTGAACTTCTGCCCTTTGGTGATCAGTGCGCATCATAGTGACCAGTCATTCCACTGGTTGTCCTGCCATTCAGTCGATTTGCATATTAGGCTTTTATTATATAGGATAATGTGTAAAAACTAGCCTGAAATGGGATAAAAGTGGAAAGGGAGGAACTACAGGGGTGGGCAAAAGTTGGTTTATAGTTGTTCCTATGGGAAAAAAAATATATCCTATCTAATAAGGAGATAATATGCAAATTGACCATCACATCCTCACAAAGATGGCAGCGCCCAGAGCCACAAGATGGTGGCACCCAGTTCCCTCAGCCCTGCCAGAGTCCCCCAGTCTGTTCAGCCCTGCCAGAAGGGATGGAAGCCGAGTGGTATGGCTGGACCCACCCTCAGCCCCCCAGCTGCCCAGAGCCAGTCCAAGGTGCAGGCAAGCCTCAGATGTCAGCTGCCCAGCCACCTAGGGCTGATCTGAGGTACAGGCAAGCCTGGGAAGTTGGTTGCCCAGCAGATGCCTGAGGCGCAGGCAAGCCTCAGATGGCGGCTGCCTAGCTGCCCAGGACCACATGAGGCTCAGGTAACCAGGGCCGGCCAAGGCTTGTGCTGCCAGCAGTGGCAGCAGCAGAGGTGTGATGGAGGTGCCACCTCCCCCTGATCACCCGGTTGACACCCACCCCTGAGGGATCCCACACTGTGAGAGGGGGCAGGCTGGGCTGAGGGACCACCCCCCTCCAGTGCATGAATTTTCATGCACCGTGCCTCTAGTACAAGAATAAGTCTGTTTCATGTACTCATAACGGTAAACCTACTTTTGTCCATCCTACATGTATGGCAGAAATTGCAACATGTGCTTCCATTAGCCATTGTCCCCTTCTTCCTTACTGTGAGAACTCAATTTTATTCTGGAGTGCAAAGGGTCCAGCCAAAGTAGGATATTTCCCATTTTCTTTGAAGGTGGTCAAGTCCACATGTAACAATTCTGCAGTTAAATATGAGTCTGCTGAGGATCTTTGGGCAAGGTTTGCTTTCTTGATCTAAAGTTTTGAAATTCATATATATATATATATATATATGAAATTCATATATATATGTGAATAAATATATTCACACACACACACACATATATATATATATATATATATATATATATATATATATATATAGTAGATGACTGCTACTGCCATCATATATATATATATATATATATGATGGCAGGAGCAGGAGCAGTCATCTTAGACAACCATCTAGGAACAGCCAATCATATCATAGAATCTCAGGCTTGACAGCCTTCTGAACTGGTACTGATAAATACCAAAATCTGGATTTTACTCTGCGTGACAAGAAAACCTCCATTTATTTAATATATAGTTGGGTCTGGTTTTCCGTTCCTCACAGGCTGACACAGTGTCTCACTGACACACCAGGCTGTCGTTGAGCCTGGGCAGCCTGCACTGGAGTGATGGCAGTTAAGATGGAGAAAAGTGGGCCAACTGGAAATGGGAAGCATCAGGACTTCCTGATGGCCCAGATGTGGGGTTTGTGGGGGAGATGACGGGTGTACAAATTACAAGATTTTGGCTCAAGATTTTATAAAAATGGGATGGAAAACCCAGAAGAATAGGTTTGAAGATTAAAATCAAGAAGCCAATATTTGACATTTTCCAGTTGAGGCACCTTAGAGGTGTCTATGAGAGTCATCTCCACTCCTGTGGTTCCCATGAAGTGGGATTTCCCTCCAGCACTCCTGGCCTTGCTCCAGCCCCCCATGTTCTCCTCTGCCAGGGATGTAGCAGCCGGCCTAGACAGACACACATTGCCCCTTGGTCCTCCACCTGCACCTACAGGTGCAGGCTCCAGGGGAACGGCCTGTGGCTGGGTGCTCACCCTGTCAGGAAGGCTGAGCATCCGGCCATTCTCCATTACTGATGCAGATCGCAACCTTGTTTCCCAATTTGACTTTTCTCAGTAATGAAATGCGGAGGTTTGGATCCTTACACACTAGCCTTCTTTGTCTGGCACTCAGTGGTTTCAAGCCTAGGCCAGCTTATATGTGTATCATGATAGGCAGGCACATCGTATCCTCCCAGCCACAATTGAAACCTTGTTTTAATGAGTGCTTCTTTCTACAGATATTGCCAAAGAAAACTAAATTTATCCCCTTTTCTAAAATGCGGCTGCCTTGGTCTTCATCGTTAAGAGTTAAAGGTTCAGTCTTGCCCCTGGGGCAGGGTTGTAAACTGCATAGAAACGAGAATTTATTTAGAATGGATGCCAGTGATCATCTATTGCTCGGGCATTTGGCTTCTTGCCTTAATTTTACAGGAATCAGGAATCATATTATTAGAACTGTGTGGCTTTTCCCTTTCTCCCTTTTCTCCATTACTAATTCACCCTTCCCTTCCTCTACCCACTAATCCATTCTTTGCTTCCCTCCTTTGAAAGGTGGTATCAATATTAGTGTTCTTTATCCTACCCCTAACTTCAGGATTGCTGGGCATTCACAGGACGGTAAAGGGCATTCCTCATGATTGGGGAATGTGGGGAAGCTTGTCTGATAGTGGCCTGAAGGAGGCAGAATAGGTAAAAAATTAGATCTCCCAGGTTGGCCTCACATTGGAAATTTGGCCACTTATCAGAGTTTATGTTTGGGAGTTTCTTAGATAATGTTTTACACTGCCACAAAAAAATGGTCTTTTGACAGCAAAGTTATATAAAACACTTCTACACATAAGATCCTGGTTTTTCTTGTCCCTTTCTATTCCCATGCTAACAGATATATTATCTCTTGGGTTAACACGGATGAGAGAGGTGCTAGGCACTTTGGCACATTATATCACTGACAACAGCACAATCCCAGAATGATATGTAAATCACGGTCACCCTCCAGTGTGGGACCCTGCATCTGGTGTGGAACGGGGAACGGAGCACGGAGCACGGCATTGTCACTGTGCCATTCAGTGGCTTTTACCAGGAAGGGAACATTGGCAGCTGTGATGCATTATGCTGCCGTGACGTTAACTACAGACACAGACAGAGGGCCCATAAAAATATACGCCTTTTTTTTAATAGAGCCTTGGGCAATTACCCTGACTATTGTTCTATGAGAAAGCGCCATTTACACTCCTTCATCAATTTAGGACACAGACATGAAAAATCACCAGCATTAAGTAGTTAAGGCAATTTGCTTTCCAAATGAAGAAAGGACAAAAAAATAAATAAATAAATAATACAGCAGAAAAGTCTCTGCTTCTGAGTTGCCCCAATTGACAGTCAAAAGCTCACCTCAAACAAAGGATCCTGAGGAGGAGTTTTCTGACGGTACCTTCTTCCTAAACAGAGCCCAGGGGCAATGTGTTCAGAGTCTCTTTCTACGGTCAGCACTAGGAGGACATGTGGGGGGTGGACAGCCCACAGGTGTGGTATGGGCTGTGGTGGGCCCACCTGGTGGCCGGGCTGGGTGTTCTGAGGAAAGGCTACAGAAACGTTGCTCACCTTGAGAAGTAAGCTCTCAGGGCAGGTCCGTGTTCCTCCATGTTGCCACAAAACATGAAATAGGTTATGAGGCTTGCCATTCGATATGGAGTAAAAATGGGAAATTATTGAACTACTTACCCCCAAATGAAAAAATAAAATGAATACAAAAGAAAAGGCAAAATCACAACAAGACAAATGGCCCCCAAAATCTTACTTACATTGAGTGAGGATTCCAGTTAAGGCATTTTTAAAATTCTCCTTGGCTTCCTCCATCTCTTGCTCATGGGTGGCCTTTTCGTTCATTAACCGGCGGACGTGGCTGTTGGCCGACTGCACCATGGAATAGAACTGGTTTGCGGAACGCCGATTCACTTCTCCGCGTTCAATCCAGGAAAGTAACACTGTGATAGCCTCTGAAAACTTGCTATCATCTGGAAACAGAAAACCACAAGTACAAATCATGCCAAGGCAAGAAAATACACTTTACATTGGTACCCCTCAAAAGACAGAGCTTGAACCATCCTATTGGATTCATTTTCAGAATTTGACACATTAGTTCTCCTGAGACTAATCATTTAGCTTTCTGTTCCCATCTAGCTCCCTGGCATCATAGACATACAAGAAACAAAGGGACATTCACCCTCCTATCCACCAACTTGCTGAGCTCAGTGTTAGACCTGTTCTGGGCATTCCTTATAAATTAATACAGACAATTTCATTCTTCCCTCAAACCCTGATTTCTCTTTCTTAAGCCTGGCTCAGAAACTGATAGTCACTTATAATGGACTCCACTTCATTTCTTTATTCTTTGATCAGAACTAATTATATAGTGATACCAGTTTTTTTTGTGTGTGTGTGTGTTTTTTTTAACTTATAGAATCAGCTGAGTTAGTGTCAAACTGAAGAGGACAGATTAAAGCACTATAAAACTGGTTGTAATATAAGGTTGTAATATAAGCACTATAAAACTGGTTGTAATATTATCTATCATATTATTCCCAACATGGTAGTAAGAATAAATCAATTCTTATTCTACTACAGTTCAAAACTAATTTTTTAGGTTTAGTATAACATACTTGAGAAGGCTGAAAAATAGAATATTTCCTTGATTTCAGCAAAAGAGGACATGGGGTAGTCAGTGTTTGCTTGGGAGGTTACTGAAAGCCTATCTGAACCTGGTTTAATGCATGTGTGTGGTGGAGGAGGGGGATAGGAGTGGGGAAGGAGGTTCCACTGGTAAATATGTAATAAAGTTTATTTCAAAGAAAACAAATGGGTTTGCCTGTTTGGAATTGGGACAGACCTGTGTTGTATTGCTTAGAGGTGGAGAAAAAGCATGTTTGGAGGTAATTAAGTTAATTGGAACTAGAAGTTACATGTCAGTTATTACAACATTAATCAATCCTACTGCTGAAGACTCATTCGCATTTTCCAGGTAAACTTAAAGGGTGGAGTCTTTTGGTGGTATTTTTCTACCCCTGGAAAATGTGATTTAAGAAAAATATTCTACATTTTTCAAATAAAATGGGTAGAGTCTGAATTCTAAAACTAAGGAGCAAAATTAGAAGAGTCAGATTCTTACTCATTGACAAATAGTGACTACCTACTATGAGCCCTCCCCTGGAGGAACATCAGAGACATCCTTATGCATTGTGTGTGTGTGTGTGTAGATGTATGTAATATATATTACTATATAGAGTTTACATATTAGTTACAGTGTTTATATATATATATATTACTCATCCATATATACCCATATGCATATACACATATATATACACATACAGATATCTATATATACAAAAGCCTAAGCGACTGAACAACTGAACGACTGGTTGACCAGTTGACCAGTCACTATGATGCACACTGACCACCAGGGGCAGATTCTCAAAGCAGGAGCTGCACCTTGGTGGTCAGTGTGCTCCCACAGGGGGATCCCTGCTCAGCTGACCGGCCCATTCCAGAGGCCCACCAGGCCAGCGGCAGCCACTCCCTCCCTCAGTAGTCCTGCAGGTCCAATCTCCTGCCAGTCATTGACAGACCAGTGGCACTGGCATGATCCCAATAGCACCACCAACCTCCTGGAAGTTGGTGCTTCCCCTCCCTAGATGCTCCATAAGGAAGAAATGATATAAAAGCGACCACCAGGTGGCTCTGGACAACCAGTGTGAATGTCAGCAGGATGGATCTGGATCCTGGGCCAGCAAGGGCATCCAACCACTCACCTGGAGGGCTGAACATATCCCAAGCCCCTCCCACTCCCAACCCCCTCGGGATGGGCGCCAGACACAGGGCCCACAGGCCCCCCAAGGGATCCCATCCTTCACAAATTTGTGCACTGGGCCTCTAGAATACATATACTGTATACACTCCAGATGAATGGATAGAGGGTGATTCGTATTTGATAAGGAAATTTTATTCTGTTATCTTATCTTATTCACCAGATGTTTTGGAGTCAACCATTGTTATAATTTTACCCATCATGCAAAAGCTGCATTTGTGGGGTGCTTTGTGAATTTTGCAGAGTCCTGTAGAAATACTGTATCGTATTTTCACAGAGGCCCTCCCAGACAAGGTACAGCGTCATTTCTGTGGCTGTGGCTGGGCCAGGAGCAGCTGCATGAGGGTGGATCAGCCTGAGCAGTGCTTGTGGAGGGTGCCCTGCCTTTTCCAGGACAGAAGCGGCTATTATCGAGGCACTACTGACCAGCCACTCAGGCCTCCCCTGCTGCCCAGTGGCAGCCTGAGCTGGGGACCAAAGCTTTGTGCCTGTGCACACCTGCCCCCTCTGCCCTGGCACTTTGGCCAGAGGAGATAACTGGCCTTTGGGAGATGCCCACAGGGCACCCTGCAAGTGAAAGACATTTTCTTAAAAATCTCAACCCACAGGCACAGAACACACTTGTTCAGTATCATAGCAGCTCACACAATTTTGTTAACTCTGGAATTTCTGTCTAAGTTCAACTCTCCGTGAACTTCAGCTGCAGTGATTTCTTATCTCATTTTGTGGACCTGAGCTGCTTGTACAAGATAAAATCCATCATACAACTTAACATTACATTCAGGCCATGGAGAGGCCCATAATTTAGCCTTATGTTTGTGAGAGACCCGCTGCAACTGTTACAGCCAGAATAAATTTTGCCTCCCTCACACTCTCTACCTCTCTGCCTGCCAATATATGTTAAGAGAATGGACCTCCAAAAAGACAGCAGAAATAAAACTAATGCTCATAAGAAATCTTTTTTTTTTTTTTGTCTCAAAAAATAACAACAACAACAACAAAAAGAGGGCATGGACTTCTTGTACCATTTTTTCCCTTGCCTATGGCTTTCATCTCCATAAAACACAAAGAAAGAAAAAAAAAAAAAACACCTCAACTTGTTAGAAGGAGCAGTACTATCCTATCTTTTCTTCCCTCGCAAACTGGTAGTTTTTCTCTCTTGCTTGTGGTCACTTAGCTCATAGATATCCTAATTTACTGTTAGGAAGAAACTGTGTTTGCTTGAATTGTCTAAAAATCAAATGTTATTGTTCATCACTCCTAGTCCTAGAGCATAAGCTCACAAACAGATTATTGTTCGCTGACAGTTTTTAGAAAGAGAAAAAACATTTTTAGGGTTGTGCAATTGCAAATATGCGATTTAAAAAGTAAGTAGGAAAGAGCCTTTCTAACATTTGAACAGATAATACTAGATAGTATTCCATTAGCTTAAAAGAAGTACATAGGTTTGAAAATTCCCAATTTCATCCTCATATCTGAACTTTCTGAAACTGGCAGGCTGATGTATGATTGAAGTACTGAGCATTCCATTTAATGTAAAAAGCATTAGGTAAGGCACTATTGGTAACTAGTCAATATCTGTTACCCTATAAGAAGTGACTTTGTATTAATCAAAGCTAGGCCAGTAACTCTCTGAATGGCTACCAAGGAGTACAGGGAGTGATCATTTTCAAAATTTAACTGTTTTCAATATCTATCTATTTTCAGTAGCTAAATTCAATTTTGCATTCACTGCAAAGATCACTGAAAAACAGAAAACAACATCAACTAAACAGGATTTAGATTGCAGGATTATTTTAATACTATTCACATGAAAAGAAATTAACAGTGTTCATAAAAATAACATCAGACACACTTATAAGAATTCCAAGTACTTCCTATGAATATGTTTAGGCACAACACTGAACATGGGTGCAGATGTGCTTTTTCCCACAGTAATAATTTGGAATATTGGTACAGTATTGTGAAGTGACTATGGGGAATTTTCTCATTAAAAATTGACCGATGTTTTGTAACCAGGGTTCTTACAATGACACACCTGAGTTTATCTCATATGTTTTATTCCTTAACTAGAGACCCGGTGCATGAAATTTGTGCATGGGAAGGGGGTGTCCCTCACCTGGCCTGCACCCTCTCCAATATGGGACCTCTCAGGGGATGTCCAACTGCCGGTTTAGACCTGATCCCTGCAGGACCACTGGCTCCTAACTGCTTGCTTGTCTGTCTGCCTGATACCCCTAATCACCCCTGCCTGCTGACCTGATGCCCCTAACCGCTCCCCTGCCAGTCTGATCACCACCTAACTTTCCCTTGCCATCTGATCACCCCCAACTGCCCTCCTCTGCCAACCTGATCCCCTCCTAACTTCTTGCTCCCCCATACTGACCTGACCTGACCCCTAACTGCTTGTTCCCATTCCGGCCTGACTGCCCCTAACCTCCTCTGCCTTGGCCCCTACCACCGAGGCTTTGTCCGGAAGGACATCTGGAAGATGACCAGTCGACCCAGTCTAATTAGCTTATTACCCTTTTATTAGTATAGATTTGCATTTTCCCCTTCAATCCATCCCACCATCTCTCTGTCACACTCCTCTTTGTTAGATGCCTGGCATGCCTTCCTGTTTTTGCACATGCTCTGCACTGGTCCTAGGCCCTCACACTCTGGTCCACTGGGCTATCAGTCTTTGCTCCAGATTCAGCATAGATGCCTTTTATAAAAGAAGTTTTTCAGTAACCCTAAGATGAATTAGGTGCCCCTTTGCCATGTTTCCACAATTCTCTACATATCCTGCTATTAAAGGGTTAGTCATTTTGTACAATAATTATTAGTTTATGGATCTTTCTCCAGTTTTGAGAGGCTAATATCAGAATAAAACTTCCAGGAAAAATATGCAGTCTGCTGGTTACTCTGAGTTTTTCCCTTTGAAATCTATCTACTGGGTGGGGCAATAGTAGGTTTACAATTTTTGTATGTACAGCTGTTTGTATAATAATTAATAATGCAAAAATAAACTCTGTGTTTCATATACTCACAACTGTAAACCTATTGTTGCCCCACCCTGTTTATTTCATTACACTCTATTTCTGATAGATTTGCAGTGATGAACACTAGACAGCTCCAAATTCAAAGCTGGGAAACATTAGTTGTCAA